GCAGTAAAAGTGCCCACATAGGTACCCAGCTCCTTCACAAAACTATCCCCAAAAAGAAGGCCTTTGGCCTGTGGCCCAGGTTCAGTGATAGCCAAGGCAACTAGCTTTGGTTCGATTTTAATCAATATAGCCTTTCGCCTCTCAGTGGCTAGAGCCACGTTGGCATTTCCAAGAAGACATATGGCTCGCTGTATCCAGCCCCTGATAGCTAGCGGGTCTATGGGAGCACCGCCTGCCAGTGCCGTTTCAACCATATCAAAGATCTTTGCACTGGGTCCGAGGACATCCAGGATCTTATCCTGGCAATGGCGAAGTGCAAAATCGAGACCCTTCTTCGCCTTCCACCCAGTTTTCCCCAGGAACTGGGCAATCTTAGGGTCCACTATAGGGGCGATACATATTAAATCTGGGAGCGTGGGGATTCTGCCCGCATCTTACTTCTTGCCACCTTATCAAGGGGTTTCCTGATCCGTGCGGCAATATATTTTGCCACATGGTCCAGCGGGAACCATTCAGTAGATCTTGGGTGCTGCAGACTATCAGGGTCAAACAAAGGTTCGCCCTGTGGGTCAAGGAGGGTGAAGCCTTCCACCCCGTCCTCGTCCTCATTCCCAGACATAGATATAGCGCTGTGGTCGGGGAATAGTGTGCCCAAATTGAATGAGTCCTCATCATCAGACTCGCTCCATGCCTCCTCCTGTTCCGAATCTGACTCGGATGATTCCACTTGGGCTTTTGCCCTTTTCCAACTCCGCACCGATTTTGCCCGGTGGGTGGCTCTTTGTTGTGGTGCAACCACATTATCTTTGACAGGACGTTCCCTGTCTGTCCTTAAAGTTTTGGAGGCTTTCTCGTCCATGTGACGAGCTTTTTTGGTGGCTTTGCGCCCACTGGCCTTGCCAGTAATGTGTTCTGTAGGGTTAGGGGCAATGTGCGTAGAGGCCTGTTGGGCGGCCAAGAGGGCATGGCTAATAGAGTGGGACAGAGTGTCCGACATAACTCCCATGGCTGAGTAAACAGCTTGGGTAACGGATTTTGTCATAGTGGCATCCAGGAGAGAATGAAGTTCTTCCGAGTTCATTTGCTCCTGGTCTGCCACATCAGTGACAGTTGAGCCAGTCGGTCTGGGGACAACCTGGGGGGCAGGGGGCATATTATCCCTAATGGGGGAATCGCTGGAGGCCATGCCCAAACTCTTACTAGCTTGCATTACGAAATAACCCCTCTGCAGTAGTTGTGGTTAGGCACAAGAATATATTATTTATAAGTAAAACAAGAAAAAAGGGGGGTGAGTGGGGAACCCAAATAAACTAATGGAGTGACTTCCCTGATTTTTGCAAAAAAACTGGGTATTAGCAATGTATCAGTAGGACTGATACAGAAATACCCAAGGCACCATAAATTAACAGACAGAATATGAAAAAGGCAAGCTCACCAAGTGTTCCCTCAGGAATGGCTCCTGGGGACACTGGTGAGCTGCCCAGCAACTGTGCTGTCCAATCAGGACACACTCCCGCCCCCACAGGCACTAAAAAGCCCGGGAACGAAAAAACCGCGGCAAACTGCCAACCGCAAGATGGCCGCCGCGATGCGCACTAGCGTTGTGCGCATGCGCGAAACGGCGCCAGCCGCGGTTACAGCCGCGAACCGGAGGGGGGGGGAGGGAGGCCCCCGAGAACAGATCTCAGAGGCGCAAGAAAAACAGACTGGGCGGCAAGAGCCTCCACACTGAGAGCTGCTAGCCGCCCTGACTCAGTAGGTGATAATCCACCTGAAGTGAGTCAGAGATGGGAGGGGAGGGAGGGGTTGGCTCTAGGTGAGGGAAAAAAACCTAGAGCCAGTTGGGAAATTAAGTGGAGAGATAGGGCAGAAGCCCAACAGTACACAGAAAACAAACAAATTTAAATGAAACTGCCACAAAATGAATAAATATGATAAACACACAGGCAGCATACAGAGAGAAAATAAAAATGTACTTAGCTGAGGAAGGCAGCAGCAAGAAAGAGGGGTGGCTTAAGGTCACATGGGGAGTTGAGAGTGCTGAAGGCATGCTGATTGGTTGTATTATTGTAGGACTAGCCCTTTGGGGCATGTTTACATGGTTGATTGTTTCTCTAAAATAAAGTTTTTCTTGCTGCTGAGGAATAAAAGAAAGAGAATAGCATAATATGAGCCTCCGTGTCCTTAAATAAAATTCTATATTATATACTACAGCTATGGTTAAATACGTTTCCTGGGTTTGGAGGAATTGCCTGATACCCATGCTACAAGAAAGGAAAAAAAGGCAGATTAAGCCGAGCTGCCCAGATGCTCCTGAGTTAAAACCCAATTAAGGCTGCCACCCATTCCGGTTTCACCAGATCTGTCATGAGTTAGAGAACTATGTGCCAAATACCATACATATTTATTTATACGGTTCTCAATAAAAGATCCAGACAAAGAAGTTGAAAGATCCTGGCGTTTGAATTTTAATATGTGATAAAAGTAAATTCTCTCATCAATATAAATGCATTGGTGTTCATAAGTAGTTTGGTGCTTAAATTACAAACTAATACAACTATGACTCTTTCCCTACTTCAGATCTCCCGTCTGATCTCAGAGCAGACTTCACCCACAGGTCCAGCAAAACAAAGTATTGCACTGGGTATATTTATTGAATTACATGGTTACATAGTTGAAAAGAGACATGTGTCCATCAAGTTCAGCCTTCCTCACATCAGTTTTATTTTTGCTGTTGATCCAAAAGAAGGCAAAAAACTAAGTTTGAAGCACTTCCAATTTTGCAACAAACTAGGGGGGAAATCCTTCTTGACCCCAGAATGGCAGTCAGATATCTCCTTGGATCAAGCAGCTATATCCTTGAATATTCTGTTTTTGCAAGCATGTATCCTGTTGCACTTGGATTGACACAAATCTTCCTTTCTTCTGGACAAAGGTAAAAGCTACGTAGAGAGACTACACCTGGATAATGAGCATAAATTCAGACGCACATTAGAAAGGGAAGAACTCTGGATTTAGATGCCAAAATTGGGTGTGTCGGGAGAACATGTACGATCATGCTTGCCAAAATGTAATATCTTTGTTTTTGCAGGAGTAATGTACGACGCAGTGAAATATTTTGTCTGTATGATTAAAAAAAAAATAGTGTTCTGCATCAGCTGGGAATCCCCTGTGCGGAGTAATGGGAGTTCTGTTCCAAAGCAACTGGGTGTCTCTGTACTAAACAGCATAATGGGAGTTGCTATAAAAAAACATGAAAATCTCTGCACTAGATTGCTGAGAGTAGCATATATTCCTTCCAACAGTTCCAGATCTGGGTGGACTGTCCTGATTTCAGGGTCGTGTCCTACTGTCCAGGTTTGGTTACCACCAACTGCAATGCAAGCAGATCACTATAATAATTTCTGCTCTGCTGAATAGTGTCAGGGCTCTATGAACAGGCACAGAGTGGTTCTGCAGAGAACGCTGTTGGTCGGACTTGCAAGCACCCACTCCAGGTTAATGTGCCCCCTTTCAGGCCAAAAAAACTACACCCACTTTAAGGCCTACTTTACCTCTTGTCACCATTCCCTTGCTGGTCTTCCCACCCGGGTCCCTTTCTAAGTTGGGAAGTATGGTAGCTGTCTACAGGTCCTCCTCTGAGAGAGGAAGCTACCCTAGCTACACCTGTGCTTTTTGTCCATTTTTAAATAAATCTTTATATATTTTGTTCATTTTTCTATCTAGTAATTGCAGTTTTTTTGTTTGGTTTTATGATTTGTGCAGGGAGGCAGTGAGAGAGGTACTTCCTGACTGTTTTGTATGGCATGCAAATCATGGAGCAAACAATAGAGAACTGGCTTCTTTTTTGGGAGGGGTGTGGGGGGTGCTCAGGGTACAATAGAAGTACCTGAGAATTATTTGACTACAAGCATCAGAGATTTATACCCAGCCCTGCTAATGGGGAGCTGTCCAGCTGTCTAGAGGACTAGTTTTCAACCAATGTGCCATGGCCACCTGAAAATGTGTCACAAACACATCTACTTCATTGTTATAATAGGTCGAATGTAGATAAGTGTTATCATTAAAATGACGACTCCCCCACGAATAAAATGACGACTCCCCCAAAGAATACCTAGCAAAAATACGCACCATGACATTAACTGAGACACAAAAGGGGACGCTAACGAACCCCATAGATAAGGAGGAAATAGAGCAAGCAATTGCTCAACTGCCAGCCCACAAGACGCCAGGCCCAGATGGCCTATCAAACAACTATTATAAAACCTTCTGCTCAATCTTAATCCCACATGTCCAATCAATATTCAATGCCGCAATTCACAAAGCACAATTATTACAATTATAATCCTACCCAAACCGGGCAAAACCCCAGACCAGTGCAAGAACTTCCGCCCCATATCCCTCCTAAACTCATATGCCAAACTGTTCACCAAGATCATCGCAAACAGAATGTCGGACACCCTTGTCACCCTCGTACACACAGACCAATCTGGCTTCGTGAGAGGTAGACAGGGTACTGACAATTCTAGACGAGTGCTAGACATAGTGGAATCTATGAGAAGAGGGGGAGAGAGAGGTCTCTTGCTTTCACTGGACGCAGAGGAAGCTTTTGACCGGCTGAGTTGTAATTTCATGGAAGCCATACTGGCCAAATATGGGTTCCCCGTCCAGTTCGCAGCGGTGGTCAAGGCCTTATACACAGGGGCGTACCTAGAGCATTTGGCACCCGGGGCGGGTCCTATTTTTGACACCCCCCCCTTGCTCCCCCCCTCAACTTTAAATATAAAAACAACAAAAAAATTTTTTAATGTATTTAGCACTAAGCAGTGTTTGTGTTTTTGAATGTATGCATGTTTTTGTATGGAGTATATGTGAGTGAATGTAGCGGTGTGTTTGTATGTAGTGTTGGCGTTTGAATGCAAGCATGCATTTGTGTGTTGTGTGGTATTTAAATGCAGTGGTATGGTTATACCATACCATTGTGCTTGTGTAAGCTATACACAAGCACAATCACTGACCCACACACAAACATTGTATGTAATGTTTGTGTGTGGGTCAGTGATTGTGCTTGTGTATAGCTGTGATTATGTGTGTGATTGTGTGTATCTCTGCATATGTGTTTAGTAGATAGCTCCCTTATTTCCTGTCCTCAAATATTGCAATCCCACATAAAGATAACAAATAAGGGATTTATCTACTAAACAACTGAAAATAAGAAAAGGGCTTTTTTTTATCCATTAGCTGTTTAGTAGATCATTCCCCGAATTGGTGCCCGTATGTGAGATTTCCATATTTAAAGATACCAAATGAGGGTGCTGTTTAGCAGATAGCACATTATTTGGTGTCCTTAAATATGGCAATCCCACAAAGGATAGCAAATAGAGGAGTTATCTGCTAAACAAAGATTGAAATTAAGAGGTGTCAGCCAGCCCATTTAATAATTAAGAGGTCCACCCAGCCTCCCTACCTTGCTCTAGAAGGGCTGGAGTGGATCCTCAGTCCCTGGTGGTCAGTGGTTGCTGCTGGGATCTCTCGCACACACGCCCTGTAATGACGCCGAGGCCGCGATGACATCATATCCTGGCTGCCGGCTCACTGCAGGGCGAAGACCGTCAGACACAGTCAGATGCACACAGTCACACACACAGTCACTTACACACAGTTACAGGCAGACAGTCAAATACGCTGGCAATCACACAGGCAGACAGTCACACACACAATCACAGACAGTCACACATACACACAACACAGTCACAGACAGTCACACACACACACAATCACAGGCAGACAGTCACACACACACACCCACAATCACAGGCAGACAGTCACACACAGTGACACAAACACACACAGAGTAACACAGACAATCACAGGCAGACAGTCACACACACACAGTGACACACACACACACACAATCACAGGCAGACAGTCATACATAGACATAACACAATCACAGTCACACACACACAATCAGTCAGAAAGTCACACACACAGAGTCACACAGACAATCACAAGCAGACAATCACAAGCAGGCAATCACAAGCAGGCAATCACAGGCAGACAATCACAGGCAGTCACACACACACAAACACACACACAATCAGTCAGAGAGTCACACACACAGAGTCACACAGACAATCACAGGCAGACAATCACAGGCAGTCACACACACACACACAAGCAGACAATCACAGACACAGTCAAAGACAGTCACAATCACAGTTACACACACACAGCACACACTCTCTCACTTACAGTAACCATGGGCTGGAGGAGGAGGGGATTCAGTCCCTCCTGTGCTGTATTTGGGGAAGCAGGGACTCCTTCCTGCTTCCCCTCTGTGTGCAGCAGTATGAGGCTGCATATAGCTCCGCCCCCATATCCGGCCTGGCTCCGCCCCCATGGCCAATCTGGCTCCGCCCCCACATCTCCGTGCAGCCCGGTCTCCTGTTGTATTCCCTGCCCCTGCGTGTGAGCTGTGTCGGCTGCCCCGCCCCTGCTGCTATGGCAACCAGTGCAGCCACACAGCTCACTGAACTCCCAAGCCTGGCCAGCCCTGGTGGCACCCCCCTGCCTGATGGCACCCGGGGCGGACCGCCCCCCCCCGCCCCCCCTTAGTACGCCACTGCTTATACAACCTGCCAACAGCGCAAGTGCTATACGGAGGCTTCATGTCCGAGACTGGAGCAATTTAAATGGAGTCCAAGAAAAATGGGATTATTTAAAAGTTGCACTATTGAAGGCAACAGAAAATTGCATTAGGCTTGTCAGTAAAAGCAAAAAATTCAAGAAACCACTGTGGTACTCCGCAGATGTGGCCAAAATAGTTAAAAACAAAAACTTAGCATTTAGGAATTATAAAAAAACCCAGAGTGAGGAAGACAAAATGATCTATAAGATTAGGCAGAAAGAGGCTAAGCAAGTTATAAGAGCTTCCAAATCACACACAGAAGAGAAAATAGCACAGTCAGTAAAAAAGGGGGACAAAACATTTTTTAGATACATAAATGAGAAAAGAAAAGTAAAACAAGGATTAGTTAGATTAAAAACAAAAGAAGGAAGGTATGTAGAAGAGGATAAAGGTCTAGCTGACTGCCTCAATGAATATTTTTGTTCTGTATTTACAGAAGAAAATGAAGGAAAGGGACCTCAGTTGAGAAAAAGGATAAATGAGTAATTTTTTTAATTTTTTTATTCTTTATTTTTGTTTGACATATCAGCGACAAGATAAGACAGTATGCCCCCATTACATAACATACAATCGTGACCTGACAAAGCGAGCTTGCTGGGATTACAGGCACACCAAATGGATGAACAGTAGAAAAGGTAACGGTACAAGGCCAATTGCATAGCTAAATTATAAAGCACCCCAACGGGGGATACATACGTCATTAATAAACCATCAAATTAACATTTTACTTTGCACAATCGTAAGCTAAAAACGGCCAGGGACGGTGTAGGGCCCTTAGCGGTAACCAGAAGCGTCTACTCTACGTCTTGCTAAAGGACACTGCGTAGGAGTATGATCGTGCGTTCTTGCGGGAGACCTTTGGAGCTAATTAGGCCCGGCAGAACAGGGGTAAGGGGCCCGCACGGCCAAGTCTAGCAGAATGCCGTGCATCACCTGCAACAAGAAGGTCTGGGCCGGCTCTTAGTGTCGTGCCCGATGCGACAGTAGCCTTGGGCCGAGAGAAACCCCCCCAGCCCCTGGTGTTCACCTATCTGGCTTGCTAAAACTTGGGTGAATGTGCTAACCATAATCTTATGTAGACTATCAGTGCTTTTGGAAGCTATATGTGTGATTAAAAAAAGTAAGAAGGCCCTTGTCCAGAGTGGGGGCCAGAATAAGAGAGAGAAAAAGTGGAAAAGTATAGAAAAAGTAGGAGCAAGAGAGCCATAGAGGAGGGGGGTAAGGGTAGACCAGGCACGGGAGGGGGGGACCCACCGGGCGGGAGAGCAAGGGGGGGAGGGGGCCAGAGGAAGGGGAGGCGGGAGAGACGGCAGGCAACACCACCCCCGATGCAGCGCCGCTCCCCTCAGTCCGCCAAGGGGCACTCCCTCCACAGTCCCCATGTCTTCTCAAACTTCCTATAAATGAGTAATTTATTACACGTGAGTTTACAGAGGAGGAGGTTCTATTTCAACTGTCAAAAGTAAAGACAAATAAGTCAATGGGACCTGATGGAACACACTCAAAGCTATTAAAAGAGCTTAGTGGTGTACTAGCAAAACCATTAACAGATTTATTTAACCAATCATTGTTAACAGGAGTAGTCCCAGAAGATTGGAAGTTAGCGAATGTTGTGCCCATTTACAAGAAAGGTAATAGGGAGGAGTCGGGCAACTATAGGCCAGTAAGCCTTACTTCAGTAGTGGGGAAAGTGATGGAAACCATGTTAAAGGATAGGATTGATGAACATCTAAAAACACATGGATTTCAAGATCAGAGACAACATGGGTTTACTTCAGGGAGATCATGCCAAACTAATCTTATTGATTTTTTTGATTGGGTAACTAAAATTATAGATCAGGGTGGTGCAGTAGACATTGCTTACCTAGATTTCAGTAAGGCTTTTGACACTGCTGCACATAGAAGGCTTATCAATAAACTGCAATCTTTAAGTTTGGATTCAAATATTGTTGAATGGGTAAGGCAGTGGCTGAGTGGCAGGCAACAGAGGGTTGTAGTTAATGGAATATATTCGAAGCTTGGACTTGGCACCAATGGGGTACCTCAGGGGTCTGTACTTGGACCCATTCTCTTTAATATTTTTATTAGTGATATTGCAGAAGGTCTTGATGGTAAGGTATGTCTTTTTGCTGATGATACTAAGATATGTAACAGGGTTGATGTTCCAGGAGGGATAAGCCAAATGGCAAATGATTTAGGTAAACTAGAAAAATGGTCAGAATTGTGGCAACTGACATTTAATGTGGATAAGTGCAAGATAATGCATCTTGGACGTAAAAACCCAAGGGCAGAGTACAGAATATTTGATAGAGTTCTAACCTCAACATATGAGGAAAGGGATTTAGGGGTGATTATTTCTGATGACTTAAAGGTAGGCAGACAATGTAATAGAGCAGGAAATGCTAGCAGAATGCTTGGTTGTATAGGGAGAGGTATTAGCAGTAGAAAGAGGGAAGTGCTCATGCCATTGTACAAAACACTGGTGAGACCTCACTTGGAGTATTGTACACAGTACTGGAGACCGTATCTTCAGAAGGATATTGATACCTTAGAGAGGGTTCAGAGAAGGGCTACTAAACGGGTTCATGGATTGCGGGATAAAACTTACCAGGAAAAGTTAAAGGATCTTAACATGTAGCTTGGAGGAAAGACGAGACAGGGGGGATATGATAGAAACATTTAAATACATAAAGGGAATCAACACAGTAAAGGAGGAGACTATATTTAAAAGAAGAAAACTACCACAACAAGAGGACATAGTCTTAAATTAGAGGGACAAAGGTTTAAAAATAATATCAGAAGTATTACTTTACTGAGAGGGTAGTGGATGCATGGAATAGCCTTCCAGCTGAAGTGGTAGAGGTTAACACAGTAAAGGAGTTTAAGCATGCGTGGGATAGGCATAAGGCTATCCTAACTGTAAGATAAGGCCAGGGACTAATGAAAGTATTTAGAAAATTGGCAGACTAGATGGGCCGAATGGTTCTTATCTGCCGTCACATTCTATGTTTCTATGTTTCTAGAGGTTCACCATCACCAACGGCACCCCTACTATATGTCCTGGCACTCGAACCCTTAGCGACTCTACTTCGAGCAAACAAAAACGTTAAAGGGGTACATATAGGTAAGACCGAGCACAAGCTTAGCCTCTTCGCTGACCACGTGCTCTTAACCATCACAGAACCGGAGACCTCCCTCCGAGCCCTTATGAACTTAATAGACACGTACGGTAGAATTTCATACTACAAACTCAACAAGAACAAAACACAGGCATTGCCAATCAACATACCCCAAGCATTGCTACAAACACTAAAACAACACCATGACCTGGACTGGAGGTCTGACCACCTCACATACCTAGGGATAGCTATCACCAAATGCCCTAGAAATCTCCACAAAGCTAACTACACAAAAACGGCCACAGCCATTAGAACACAAATGGAAAAATGGAAGGGCAAATACATTTCCTGGATGGGGCGCGCAACGGCCTTCAAAATGATGCTACTCCCAAAACTTCAATTCCTATTTAGATCCCTACCAATAGACATCCCTAAGCCATTCTACAAAGACAGGTAGATCGCTTTATAAATGGCCAACGCAAAGCCAGAATTCCCAAATCGACGACATATAAAAAACTCGGGGAGGGAGGACTGGGCTGCCCAGACATTCACGCGTATTACAAGGCCACACTAATCACGCAGGCCATTAGCACACATCACGGTAATAAGGGCCCACCATGGGCAGACATAGAATCCCAATGGTCTCTACCAGAGGGGATCCACCTCCTACTCTGGATAGCCAAAGCCTTCTGTCCTAAAACACATAACCTGCGGCCTATGACAGCAGTAATGCTAAAAACATGGGAACCATAAACAGTCATTCCTCTCCAGAACCCTGTCGCTCAGATGTCTCAGATACCTCGCCCCAACCTTTGACAGCAGAGGATGGGAAAGTCGTTGCCTCACGCATCTGAATCACATATGGACAGGTGACTCCCTAGCTCGGTTTACGCAACTGTGCTCGAACCATGACATCCCCAAAGGGCTGTACATATCATATCGTCAAATACAATCACTAACACGCCAATTACAACACAAGACACCAAGGACCGAGAACCAGCACCATAACATGTCAACCATTGAGAAAATGTGTATAGGTCAATTACCCAAAAAGAGAGTGATGTCGACATGTTATGATTCATTGACGAAAGCCTCTACAGCGCAGCTACCGACTTACACATCAGTATGGGAAAGGGAACTAGGAATTGTCATAACATGGGAAAATTGGCTCACAGCCTTTAATATACACAAAACCCTCACCCACTGCACGTCCCACATCGAACTTATTAGGAAGATTCTAACAAGATGGTATATGGTACCTTCAAACTAGCCAAGGCTTACCACACCATAAGGGACACATGTTGGAGATGTGGAGGGAGGGGGTAACATGACGCACATCTGGTGGAAGTGTTCAGTCCTACAGCCATACTGGGATATGGTGACCACACTATTGTCGGAGGTAATAGGCAAACCAATACCTCGATCCATCGAGGCCTTTGTGCTGTTCATGTTACCCAAGAGTCTAACACTAGCCCAAAAAACCCTAGCCATTCCACATCCTGGTATCTGCGACTCTGCTCATTGCTAGGAAATGGAAATCGACCAAGATACCTAGCAAGATGGAAATCATCACACAGTTCACCACTAACGGGCAATACGAGAAAATGGC